TAGTGTTCATTTCACTTTAACAGGTTTCCTTTTTGGTGCTCAGTTAGTTGTCACCTATCAAGGAGAACAAGTGGTATTTGTCCCTTTGGGATTGGCTTATTTAACTCAACATAATGTTTTCCAAATTCCTAACAGGGATCACTTTTCAGTTAAAATTTAAACACCTAAGAATAATTGTGTGTTAATTACAGAGTTCAACCAATGGTACTAGAACAAAAAAAATACTAAAATGGATAAAGTATTACATTGTACATCAACCATCAGGACAAGAGCTGATCAAGTCACTGTTTCTCATAGTGTCCATTTCACTTCAACAAGTTTCCCCTTTGGTGCTCAGTTAGTTGTCGCCGATCAGGGAGAACATATGATATTTGTCCCTTTGTGACTGGCTTAATTCACTCAGCATGATGTTTTCCAAATTCCTCCATCTTGTTGCAAATGACTGGGTTTCGTTGTTTTTGGCTGCTGTATAGTATTCTATAGAGTACATGTCCCATAATTTCTTTATCCAGTCTACTGTTGATAGGCATTTGGGTTGGTTCCAGGTCTTAGCTATTGTGAATTGAGCTGCAATAAACATTAAGGTGCAGACTGCTTTTTTGTTTGCCAATTTAATTTCCTTTGGGTAAATTCCTTTGGGTTGAATGGTAGGGTTATATTCAGGTTTCTGAGGAATCTCCAGACTGACTTCCATAGTGGCTTAACTAGTTTGCATTCCCACCAACAGTGGGTTAGTGTCCCTTTTTCCCCACATCCTCTCCAGCATCTATTGTTGGTAGATTTCTGAATGTGAGCCATTCTAACTGGGGTGAGGTGGAACCTCATTGTGGTTTTGATTTGCATTTCCCTGATGGCTAGTGATCTTGAACATTTTTTCATGTGTCTGTTTATTTGAAAGGCAGAGTTACAGAGAGGCAGAGGTAAAGAGACAAAGAAAGAGGTCTTCCATCGCTAGTTCACTCCCCAGTTAAATGCAATGGGCAGAGCTGCGCCCATCCGAAGCCAGAACCAGGAGCTTCCCCAAGATGTCCCAAATGGGTGCAGGAGCCCAAGGACTTGGGCCATCTCCTACTGCTTTCCCAGGCTACAGCAGAGAGCTGGATCGGAAGTGGAGCAGCTGGGACTCGAACCGGTGCCCATATGGGATGCCGGCACTGCAGGTGGCGGCTTTACCTGCTACTCCAAAGCCCCAGCCCCCTATCTTTTCTTTCTCAGAGGCAAATTAATTTTCAAGCATTGTGAATCTATTCTATTGAGCTACTTCAACCTGATTTTTTTTTTCTTCACAGGCAGAATTAGACAGTGAGAGACAGAGACAGAGAGAAAGGTCTTCCTTCTGTTGGTTCACCCCCCAAATGGCTGCTATGGCCTGTGCGCTGTGCCGATCAGGAGCCAGGTGCTTCCTCCTGGTCTCCCATGGGGTGCAGGGCCCAAGCACTTGGGCCATCCTCCACTGCACTCCCGGGCCACAGCAGAGAGCTGGCCTGGAAGAGGGGCAACCGGGACAGAATCCAGCACCCCAACCGGGACTAGAACCCGGTGTGCCGGCGCCGCAGGCGGAAGATTAGCCTAGTGAGCTGTGGCGCCGGCCAACCTGTTTTTTCCTAATGCTTTTCAATATGGCATTCAAACATATGCAATCCTGTCACCTCCTCTTCCTTCTTTTACTCTTCCCTTTCTCTCCAATAACCCTATTGTCAGTAGTCAGCTGTTTGGCCAAATAGTCTGTTTTCACTGACTATCTAAGTTTGTCTAGCTGCGCCCATTCCAGTCTCCCTGAAAACAGCACCCTATCCAAAGGCTGTATCTCCGCTGGGTGCAGAAGAGTGTGCTGGGCTGTGACACGTGGCCCGTGTGCAATGCACCAGATGTGGCAGGTGCGCAGGGGCACTGACCGCCCTGCTGCCGTGCTCCTACCACAGAGCAGGTGCCCTGAGAAGCTGGCTTCGCCTGGGGGAGAAAGGACTCAGGCTGGAAGCAACCTCGGGGTGGAATTTGTGTACAAGTCCAGTTGCTAAGGTTCTTGTTCTAGAGCTTCCTGAGTGGTCACATCTGATGACCACAGCGTGTTTGTCCTTTGGAATATATGTTCTTTGAATGTATCCCTGGAACCCAAGAAGAAGACACCTGTGGCTTCATATAACGTAGTTTACATCATGTACAATTATATTTTGTCTATCTTCATCCAACCTAATGGGAATTTGACCCAAACTAGTCATTATTATATGTATGTTAACAGTTTGAGCTCTTCTCCAGGCAGGTTTTTTTTTTTTTTTTAATTTCTTCTAAATTAGAAAATCCCAGGGCCAGATGGCATCCCATATGGGCACTGGTTCGAGTCTTGGCTGCTCCTCTTCTGATTCGGCCACCTGATAATATGCCTGGGAAAGAAGTAGAAGATGGCCCTAGTCCTTGGGCCCCTGCACCCACATGGGAGACCTGGAAGAAGCTCCTGGCTCCTGGCTTTGGATCAGCTCAGCTCTGACCATTGCAGCCAATTGAGAGTGAACTAGCAGATGGAAGACCTCTCTCTCTCTGTATAACTCTGCCTTGCAAATAAATTAATCTTAAATAAATAAACAAAAATAAAATAGAAAATCTTAACTCATACATAGAGATCACCAGAAAAGAGCCACAACTGTTTGGTGATACTGTCAGATACATTTGGATATTGAGATTCAACATATTTCTAGAAATTATGAACCAGTTCTCACCAAGGATCTCTTTCAGTGCTTGGTGAATAATAATTTATGAGCACATTAGAGTCAAGGGCTAGGAGGTTGGGTAAAATGTTCCACTAGGGAGACAGTTGAAAAACAGATGCCTAATCTACTTTTTGGTTGCATTTGGCAAGCTGCAGCCTTTGGATGTAGTTTTAAAACATAACCTATAGAGCCGGCGCCGTGGCTCAATAGGCTAATCCTTCACCTTGCGGCGCCGGCACACCGGGTTCTAGTCCCGGTTGGGGCGCCGGATTCTGTTCCGGTTGCCCCTCTTCCAGGCCAGCTCTCTGCTATGGCCAGGGAGTGCAGTGGAGGATGGCCCAGGTGCTTGGGCCCTGCACCCCATGGGAGACCAGGAAAAGCACCTGGCTCCTGGCTCCTGCCAGGATCAGTGCGGTGCGCCGGCTGCAGCGGCGGCCATTGGAGGGTGAACCAACGGCAAAAGGAAGACCTTTCTCTCTCTGTCTCTCTCTCTCACTGTCCACGCTGCCTGTCAAAAAAAAAAAAAAAAAAACATAACCTATAAACACACCCTCAATTCTTTCTCTGACTAAATGAATAAAAATCCATTTACCCAGCAAACATTTATTAGCTACTAGTGGCACTGCTAGGTGTGGGATACAGTTGGAAATAAGAAGTCAGTGTTCTGTCTTCACAGACCTAGAAGATAACATGATTTTTTTGTATTTAGCACTGAAAATCTTTATATATATATATACACATACATATATATATATATATTTATATATTGGAAAGGCAGGGCTAGAGAGAGAGAGAAAGAAACACAGACAGACTTCCATCCGCTGATTCACTCCCTAAATGACAGCAATGGCCAGGGCTGGGCCAGGCCAAAGCCAGGAGCAGGGAACCCCACCAAGATCTCCCATATGGATAGCAGGGGCCCAAGTATTTGCACTGTCTTCTGTTGCTTTCCCAGACACATTAGCAGAGAGCTGGATCAGAAGTGGAGCAGCCGGGACTTAGACAGGTGCTCGTATGGGATGCTGGTGTTGCAGGTGGCAGCTTAACTTGCTTTGCCTCAACAACTGCCCCAGCACTAAAACTTTCAATGTCCACCCCTAAAACAGCACATCACTTGAGAAAGCCACATAATCAACAGAAATGGCTGTCACAGACATGAAGCAATGTCAGAAAAGTAGGTTTTAAACTCTATTCCAAAAGCTTTGGGAGGCACCTATGCCTGCAAGGTGCTACTTACTTTTCATTGCCTCACACTTTTCGGTCTTTCTTTCAACTATTATCAGGGCCAGGGGACATAGTGCAGGCCACTGGCTATTATGTGAGAACAAAACAGTGATGTTGGTCACATGCTAGGGTGACATCTTTTATTCACGCAGCAATGTCCTTTGTCCTTCCTTACCCTTGACTGCTGATCCCTGGGTTTCTCTCTAATGCTCCTTCAGGATGATAATATTAATTATTAACTGACTCAAACAAAACACTCTTGCGGTGTGGATTTTCTTTGGACAAAACTCACACAATAATTCCCTCTTGTACAAGCACTGCACATATGCCAAAAGTTGATTTGTAATCTGCATGTACCTTGATTTGCCCAAATGTGAAGTCAAAGATCTGCTAGCATGCACTTAGGATAGTAGGTGCTTCTCCACATTTGCCCCATGGATATCAAGCAAAATCCATCCGATGATGGAATTCTGTCAACACCTTGTTCTGCCCTCTCTGAGCAGTATATTTGTCACTCATTTGGAAGCCAGTTTTTTTTTTTTTAAGATTTTATTTATTTATTTGAGAGGTAGAGTTACAGACAGTGAGAGAGAGAGAGAGAGAGAGAGAGAGAAAGACCTTCCGTCCATTGGTTCACTCCCCAAATGGACACCACGGCCGGAGCTGCACCGATCTGGAGCCAGGTGCTTCCCACATGGGTGCAGGGGCCCAAGGACTTGAGCCATCCTCCACTGCCCTCCCGGCCACAGCAGAGAGCAGGACCAGAAGAGGAGCATCCAGACTCGAACCAGTGCCCACATGGGATGCTGGCATCGCAGGCAGAGGATTAACCTACTACGCCATGGCGCAGAATTCCATCTGGGAATTCCTTGAAGGCCGTTTTATCAAGCCTCCCATACCAGTGTGACTTGAACCTCATTTTCTCTGTGTAGAGCACAGCTCTAGATATTACCTGTCCTTTGACCTCTTTTCTGATATCATTACAGAATTCATCAATCTCATTTTGAAAGGGAAGATTTTGGGTTTGTTCAGGAAAAACTTACTAGGTTTACCTGTGTTGTTTGTTGTATTAAAAAAAAAAAAAACAGAAAATCGTCAATGACTTCCTGCCTCTATTTAATAAAAGGACACAGTACACAGTGAAGTAAGGTTGAACAGACTGCTAGTTCAATAAAATCTAATATCAGAAATTCATCAGCATTTTTTTTTCTTTTGTTTGTTGGCTGCTTATATTAAATCCTCCTACTCAAGCAATCATTTGTCTCATCCATACTCTATATTTAAACCAGTGTCCTATTCGTATTTATAGTTCTAATATTTTTAAATAAAAATATATTTACAAGGCAGGAAGAAAAGGAGAGGAAGACAGAAGGACAGAGAAAGAGAGAGGGAGAAAGAGTTCCTATCTGCTGGTTCACTTCTCACATTCCCACAATGCCTAGGGCTGGGTTGGGACTGAGCCAGGAGCAGAGAATACAACCCTATCTAAGTGGGTGGAACCCAATTGCTTGAGCCATTATTTCCGCCTCCCTGGCTCTGTATCTGACAGAAAGCCAGCATCAGGAGCTGCAGGTGGATATCAAATCCAGGCACTCCAATGTCGGTCATGTGTGCCTTAACCACTAGGCTACACACTGACTCTCCAGCTCCACACATTTTTATGAGCTAAAACATTTACTTGACTTGTTCTACCTCTACTTTTGCCCTTTACCAATGAGCCATTTTTAAAACTGATTTCTAATACAGGAAAACTCATGTGAACAACAGAAGCTAGTGTAAGATACGTCAGCCGTGATGAGCTGTACTCAGTTGACTACATATTAGCCAAGAAAGTCTTTATAGTGTGAGCACAATAAGAAGACAAAAATGATTAAGAACAGGATTCTGTGACATTCATACCTACTGTCACTTCTAATTATTAAAATCTATGTGAAGAAAATGGTTTCACTGCTTTTTCTTCTGAAACTGCCCAAGCACCTGCGTTTAAACTTGGGGAAGGGATCCCAAGTGGTCTGCAGGCCACACTGACACTCTACTCTCTGATTTCCAGCTTGCTTAGGTCTGTGGAAAACTTGGCCAAGAGCTGCCATGATCTCAGACCCCACTGTCAACTCAAACTGAACTTGGCAGAGCAGTGCTCATCCGCACCTGTCCCTTCCCTGTGCGCAACTTCAAGCCACCCTTCTTGCAAGCTGGCCTATCCAAACCTCTCAACATCTCAAGTCAGGAAGCCTGAGACAGCCTCTGCCAGACTTCCAGCATCGAATTATGGTCGAATGCTACTGCAATTCACCCTGTCAACTCAGAATCACCAGGAAAACTTAAAAAAAAAAATTAAAAAGTATTGCTAACCAGACTTCCACTCCAGATCCATTTAATCAGAATCTCTGATGTGGGATTCAAGCCACCCCTATTATTTTTAAATATTTTCCAATTTATTTATTTTTATTTTATTTAAAAGACAGAGACAGGGAGAGATCCCCATATGGGTGGCAAGGAACCAAGTACTTGAGCCACCATCTGCTGCCCCCCAGGGTGTGCATCAGTGGGAAGCTGGATCAGAAGCAGAGCTGGAACTCAAACCGGGCACTCCAATATGGGATGTGGGGACAGGCATGGGGCACAGCAGTTAAGCCACCTCTTGACATGCCCACATCCCAGCGCCCTTTCAGTCCTGTCTGCTCTGCTTGCAGACCAGCTCCCTACTGTGCCTGGGAAAGCAGCAGCAGATGGGTCAAGTACTTGGGCCCCTGCCACCCATGTGGGAAGCCCAGATGGAATTCCAGGCTCCTGCTTCCACTCAGTCCATTGCCAGCCGTTGCAGACAACTGCAGAGTAAACCAGTGGATGGAAAGTTCCCTCTCTTCCCCCACCATGGTCAGTCTGCCTTTCAAATCAATAATAAAAATAAAGCCAAGAAATAAACTAATAAATAAGTTAAAAACATAAAAAAATCCAACTCAAACTGTCCTAAACACTGTGGGTCTTATTCTTATTCCCTCACATAATGAGAAGCACTAGGATGAGTGCCTCTGGGTGTTTCTAAGTCAAGGTTCTCCAATCTTTTCTTGGCTGTATCTTATTCAGAGTGCTGGCTTCACTTTCAGGCTGGTGCCAGGACAGTGCCACACTGCCAAGAATCATGTCCAGATGTGACAAGGTCAGGGGAGGAAGAGAGGTGTCCTTCCATGTGTGTCTATTTCTTTTGGGGGAAAAAACCTTTCTCAGAAGCCCACAGAAAGTTACTCCTCATATGCACTCGGCCAGAATCTTGTCAAATCTTGTCAAAACCAAATCCTTGCAAGCAGGGAAATGGGACACCATGATTGGCTTAGATGGACTAGGATGAACTCATGGAGATGTGGGTTGGATTTGCCTCCTCTGAGACACACAGGGTCGGGTAAACAACCAAAGAAATCCAAGCTCTTTCAGAAAGGAAGAAAAGGATCTGAATCGTATCAGAAAGAGACTCTACAGCATAGTGGTTAAGGGCACACACTCTGGAGTCAGGTAGTACGCTCAAATCTCACCCTACCATTTACCAACTGGGTGTGTAGGCTTCAGTTTTTGTGTTTAGGACAAACCAAGCTGGACTTGGATTTTCCTACTATACCCTGTCGACACGGATCACTTCTGACACCAGATGCATGAGGTTTTCCCCATGTAGGAGCAAGCAAGACCTGCCAGCATTCTTTCCTGGAAGATACGGGCAGGACTCCTCTGGAAGGAGGTGATCTCCTAACATCCTCTTTGAGTTTCTATGGCCTGCCTTGTAGAGGGAGTTATGAGCCAGTTACCATGGAAAAAAACCTAGATATATATGAAGAATCTTCTCAACATTAATGGAAAATGCATATGATGAAAAATACTATATCAACACAGGACTTTAGCCTAGTGGTTAAGATGTCCATCTACCATATTGGTTCAACTTGTGGCTCCAACTCCTGATTCCAGTTTCCTGCTAGTGCAGATACCAGGAGGCAGTAATGCTGGCTCAAGTAATTGGTTTCCTGCTGTTCACATGGGAAAACCAGGCTACGTTGCTGGCTCCTGACTTTTGGTCACACCTATCCCCAGCTGTAGCAGGCATTTAGGGAGTGAAACAGATGGGGGCTAGCTTTCTCTGCCTCTCAAATAAATAAATTTTTCAAAAAGATACTTGATATCTATGCATGGACTTCAAAATTTCTTTTGCACTAAAAGAAATTCATTTTTTAACTTTTCCATACACTTTTCGAAGTTGTCTTGCTTATCATAATGACACAGTTTTCTTTCCTCCATATAAAGGAATAGTAAAAGTTCCAAATTCACAGGGTTGCTAGAAGGCTTAAATGTTTAATACTTAGAACACACTCTGGCTCATACTGGGATTCAATAAACATTAGCAATCACCTCCATAGCATTTGTCATGGGTTATAAACAGCTAGTGAACAGGACAGGTCTGTAGGTGAGAAGAGTTCTCTCTGTATCACTGAGCTACTGCCACACTCACGTAGACATTCATTTGTTTTTCTGTATATTAACAATTTAAAAGCTTATGTCTTCTGTTAGCAGAAAGATGTTATTAACTAAAAAGTAACCTTTTGACAACCAGAAAGAGTTCAAAAGTATTTGGAGATACTATTATAAAAAAATTACCATGTTAAAGGTAACATTTTACGATTGGAAATACTTTAAAATACCTATTGCTCCCTGGGAGGTCTATTAAGAGAAATATAATCATATTATTATCTCATTTAATCCTAAAAGCAATCTATGGTGTCAGGCTTGTCAGTAAAATGCTCTTAAAACTGACCTCAAACAAAATATAGATGTGCTTTCAATGTGTAAGCTTTCCCACAATACACTGTTATACGAAAAGTGGAGCCAGTTAACTTCCAATTCTAAGACATACTTTCTCCTCTTCCAGTCTCCCCACCCCAATGTTGGCAGCGTGACTGCGTCTTACAATCAGTGTTTACACCCACTCTAACAATGCTGCACCCCTGCCAGGGTGAGACTGCCTCAGTGGTGCACCTGCAGAGGCTCCTGTCCCACTCATTAACTACATACATGCCGATGAGAGGCCTTCTTCCATGGAGGGCCTTAAGATGAGACCTTAATGGCTAACTGTACGTGTGACACCTCCCCTGGTGTTGGTAGTCATATAATTCCCACCTTAAACTGTAGAGATGTTGAAACACTTTGGCCCCAAACACTGAAGACTAGCTGATATGTCTAATCCTGCAAGTGGCTTATAGTCAAGATTTATCACTTTGCTTCAGTCCAGGGACCAAGTAAAGAACTGGAAATTCAAGGACACCACTTAAAGCCTGAGCCTATCATTAACTCCCTGGGTGTGGAAAAGCCAGGGCTCTCCTCCTTCATCTGTTACAAGACATCAACTCTCCCTGCGGAAAGTCTATGGATATTAAAAGTAACTAATGAGATTGTTTCGGTTCCAACAGAGTTCACATTTTCTCCCACTCATATCTGTTTCCTCTTCTACCGCACACGAAGGCCCCAATCTTCCATCCCATTAATGATTCGATGTATTGAGAAATCAGTCACTGCTGGGTAGCTAAAAGCGTTTTTGCTTCATTGCTTCTTGAATTTATTTTATTCAGTCTTCTAAAAGAATTTATTTAATTTCAGAAGGGTATGGTGTTAACCCCCCCAAAAAAAATAGATGGCCATAAACACACACACTTTGCTCATCTGGCCCTCGGAACGTCCTCCCGCCCTCAGGTTTCCACCGTCAAAGCCAGCTCCTCCTGGCAAGGTCGGGCCCTTCCCAAACTACTCTCCATCAGTAGTTCCTCTGGGTCCACAGAATGAGAACCAAACTCCTTAGTTCTTCCTAATCTGTCCCTGCCCCCACTCCCTCCCCCACACTGTTCCAACTTTACCTTTTGTTTTGTTTTGTTTTGTTTTTGACAGGCAGAGTTAGACAGTGAGAGTGAGAGAGAGAGAGAGAGAGAGACAGAGAGAAAGGTCTTCCTTCTGTTGGTTCACCCCCTAAATGGCTGCTACAGCCGGCGCTGCGCCGATCCAAAGCCAGGAGCCAGGTGCTCCTGGTCTCCCTTGCAGGTGCAGGGCCCAAGCACCTGGGCCATCCTCCACTGCCTTCCCGGGCCACAGCAGAGACCAGCTTTACCTTTCTTCATTTGCCCCATGTATATAGTACCCTGCACTCCAAGAACAGCCAGCTCTCCTGGTTCTGCCATGTTGTTTGGTCAGCACTGATCTGAGGACTAGAAACCTGTCAGAGGAGGGAGAGTCCCTGAAACTGGGGAGGGGAAAACAAACAAACAAACCTAGGTCCTGAGGCAGAGTAAAGCTTCTTTCTGGAAAAGGAAACAATCCATAGCAAATACAGAGTTTTGTGGTTGCTCGATATACTTCTATGTGGATACTTGTGTATGTGTGTGTGTGTGTGTGTGTTATGGGGAGAGAGACAGAGAAAGCATCTACTTCTACATGTGCCTTCCCTTATTTGACATGGGGTGAACCTGCTGTTGTCCCTCAAAGACCTACTCTGCTCTTACTCTTAGGTGGCCACCTCAAGGTATACGGTCTGAAATCACCCACTGTCTTCTCTGTCCATTCTTTCTCAATGGCATCTTCCTCTTTACCCAGGTCATTCTCATCAGCACACAAACGTGCTGATATACGTCACCTCAAAACTCATCTGACTTCACAGCCTTTTCCAGAAACTTCCCTATCTCTCTGCTCTTCCAGAGGACTCGTGAAAGAGCTGCTTCTACTTAGTTTCTCAAATTTCTTGTCCCTCATTCTCTCCTGAACTCACTCCAGTTAAGCTTTCTTTCCCATCATCCTATCAATTTGCTCTTTTCAAGGTCACCAGTGACCTCCACTGAAACTAAACCCTGTCATGCATTCTCAGTCCTCAGGTATTCTACTTCTCAGCACTAACACACGGGACCACCACAGCTCAGTCCTCACACCTCTCAGACCCTCCTCCTTCCTCCTGTCATGGTGTGTTCCATGACTTTACACAGTCGGTATCCTAAAGAGCCCCCCCCCCCCAGTTCCTGTCTCCAGCCATGAGCTTCCTTTTGAACTCCAGTTACAATTCCACTTAGACATTTCGAACTCAACAGATTTCAAACCAAACTTAATTCTTCTCCTACAACCTTGTTTTTCCCCTGCCATCTGTACTCAACAAAATGGCACCAACATTTTGTTCAGGCTTCTGTTGAAACTGTCCTCGATTCCTCTTTCTCTCACATATTACAAACAAACCACTCCCAAATCCCAATAGCTCTATCTTCAACATATCCCAGAATTGAATGCTTCATACATCATTTTCTGCTACCACCCCGGTCCAAGCTACTTTTATCTCTATTAGCTTGGATTTCTCTATTAGCTTCCTAACTGTGTGCTTGCTTCTACTCTTATTTATCCCTTTCCTCTCCCTACCCCCGGGTCAGGCATCTATCTAGCATGTTCTCTGCAAAGTATTAATCAACTCCTATCACTCACTGCACACTATCTTCATGTGGCTCCCCTCAAATCACTCAAAAATGAGGCCCTACGTAATGGCATCCTCAGTAACTTCCCTACCTTCACTATGTATCACTGTTTCCCTTCTTCATTCAACAAGAGCAGGCTGGCCTTCTTGCAACTCTTTCAGTGGGCTAAGCAAACTCCTACCGGAGGGGCTCTGTCTCATCGGGTCCTCTCCCTCTGTGCTCAGGTACCACATCATCACACAGTCCCACCGGAACTCCCCAGAAGAAAGCAGCAGGTTTCCTCAGTCTCAATGCCCTTATCCTGCCTTATTTTTCTGTGTGGCACTTCATTAACTAACAACAGAGGATAAATCCATTTGTCTCCCCTAAGAGAACTGAAGCTTCATGGTGAAGCAGACTGTCTTTTCCTAACATCTGAAACAGCACTTGGCACATAGCAGTTGTTCAGTAAATAGTTGAGATAGTTGTTAATTGGAAGACTGAGAATGATTGGATTAATGGACTCTTCAGTTTTTTTCCCTGAAACGGCACTCACTGATGGCCTCCTGTCACTTGGCCTAGCAGGCTTCACACCATCCCTCTTGATTGCCACTCCTATGGGCAGACCCCATCTCACCTGCTCCAGCCTCACGGAGGCCCTAAGATCACAGTTCTCTGTCTCCCAAGACCATGACTTCTCCTGGGGCACAGATTTGGTATTTATCTTACATCTCCAGTACCAAGAGTTTCTGGTACTAAGTGACTATTCAATACATGTCTGTGGGTTCATATAATTTACCAGGTCTGAGTGAGCAGCTCCATGGGGAAAAAAACAAATACCCCAGATATACAGGTTAGAAGAAGTAGTACCTTTACCTAGATGACTCAGGCATTATTTTCTGTACCATTATATTTCTGACTTCAGATCTCTGTTCAAGGACTGACTTGGGGGTTAGGATAGAAGGGACAGAACAAGACCAAAAAATGGCAGAAAAGTCTAGAAAGCACACTGAAACATCAATTAATTGATCAAAGGAGCCTTTGAACCTATCATCTGGAGGAGACACTGTGACTAGCCATAAATAAAGAATCCCATTGGCCCGCTACTCCCTCCACTCACCCGCTCTTTGGAATTTTACAGATAACAACTTCAATCAAAGCAACGAGAAAGAAAAAAAGCTCCAGCATTTGCTAGTTTAAACAGAAAGAGATAGAGAAAGGCCTCTCAGAGAGGCTTGCACCTTTAAGTCACTGAACATGCAGGAAACCAGAGTGAGATCATTTGAGCATGGCAGACTAATTTTAAAGGGAAGAAAAAATAGGAGTTCCTATTTGAAGGTTGAAAATTTCTTGTGTCCTTTTCCACCAATCACTAGATTCTCCCCAGCACCCTGATTGTTCCTTGTGATGTACAGAGTGAAAGAAAACACTGTCCAAGGGTATCAAGGCACAGACAAAGGGTGGCCATAGGTCAGAGAAGAGTTGAGCCAAAGCAAAGCCCTGACCACATCAATCCTTAGTGAGGAGTCAAAAGCATTCATGTGGGTGTGTGTGTATTGGGGGTGGGGAGGTGCCTTCTGTACATCCTGTGGTGCTTCTCTTATTCATCCAACCTATTCAACTCACTCATTTACACACAACAGAGGAGGAGAAGCCCCGGGTTCCAGAAATATTTGTTGAAAGGACTGTCCTTTACCCTCATGAATTTGCTTGGTGTTTCTGTTAAAAATCAATCCACCATATATTTGTGGGTTTACTTCTAGACTTGCTATCATTTTATTGTGCTTCCTTCTTTCTCAAGAACCTGTAATAACTCACTGTCCATCGGCTCAAATATGAATTTCTACCTCTAACGCTCAACGCACTTCAATCCAACATTTTGTCTTACCTTTCTCAAATATTTTAGTATGTAGCTTTAAAAGATAAAGACTTGCTTGTTTGTTTAAATGTTTATTTATTTATTTATTTGAAAGGCAGAGTGACAGAGAGAGAGGGAGAGATAGAGACAAAAATAAATCTCCTATAATCTGGTTCACTCCCCAAATGGCCCCAACAACCAGGCGTGGGCCAGGCTGAAGCCAGAAGCCCAGAACTCCATCCAAGTCTCCCACTTAGGTATCAGGGGCCCACAGACTTGAGCCATCTGCCACTACCTTTCCGAGTACATCAGCAAGGAGTTAAATTGGAAGAGGAGCAGCTGGACTCCAGCTGACGCTCATATAAGATGCCCGTGTCGCAACCAGCAGCTAAACCTGCTATGTCAGAATGCTGGCCCAGGACTCATTTTAAAACAAAACCACACCACGTTTTTTAAAAAATGAAAAGAACAAAAAAAAAGTTTGTTTTTTTAAAAAATCCAAAATGTGTTATAACAATGACCTATTTATGATCTTAAACCTTTTTTAAAAATGAAAAAAAAAAAACACAAAAACAAAACCACACCACCATTATCATATGTTAAATAATTTAATAATTCCTCAATATCATTAACTATCCACTCAGTGTTCTCTTTATTTCATAAATGTTTATAACTGGTCTGTCCAAATTGGATACAAATAAAGTCCACGCATTATAATTGATGAGTAATTTTCAGTTTCTTTCAGGTTCCCCCTATTCTCCTTCCCTGGTAATTCTTGTGATGAAGAAACTGGGTTGTTCGTCTTCTAGAGCTTAAGATTGCCTGGATTTTGCTCATTATATTCCTGTACTGTCATTTAATTTGTTTTTCTGTATTTCCTGTAAGTTGCTAATCAGATGTTCCTGACTATCTATTACCTACCAGATATCCCTACCCACTGTATTCCTGTGGTGTCATTTAATTTGTTTCTCCATCTTCTGCATTTCCTGTAAGTTGGTAATCAGATAGAGAGGCTTGATCAGATTTAGATTGGTTTTATCTGGGCAAGAATATTTCAAAAGGTGTAACATATTCCCAGTAAGTAGTATAAAATGATCATTGCCTAAATTGTAATTAATTAGGGATAGTAAAAAGATAACACATTCATTTTATCATCATTTCTTATTTTTTTATTATGGAAATACCTTTACAAAGAGAAACTCCCCTTTTTACAGTCTGATTATGCTGAGATGCAGAGTGTACAACAAAGACAGAATAAACACTTGACTCTTTACTTACCAGTTTTCAAAATAATGAGTTAATTCTCTGATATCCTTAAAAAGTGACTGATTACATGAGCTGATGCTTACTGTTATGAACTCGGAGACCTAAACATATTTGATATATTTCAAATACAGTTCTTTTTATTAACGTTGTTACTTATTTATTTGAGAGGCAGAGTTACAGACAGAGAGAGGCAGAGAGGGAGAGTCTTCTATCTGCTGGTTAACACCTCAGATGGCCAGAACAGCCAGAGGTGGGCCAATCCAAAGCTAGCAGCCAGGAGCTTCTTCCAGTCTCCCAGATAGGTGCAGGCGCCCAAGGACTTGGGCCATCTTCTGCTTTCCCAGGCCATCAGCAGAGAGCTAGACTGGAAGAGGAGGAGCCAGGACATGAACTGGTGCCCATATAGGGTGCCGGCGCCACAAGCGGACCATTCCCAGTTCTTGTCTTACTGACACAGAAATGGTCCCAGGGGAAATCTCTTCAGTTTGGTCCCTCAGTCCTCTGACTGCAGCCTTTGGAATCTTTGACAGCTTCTTTGCTTTCCAGTGTGATACAAAGTTGTAGATACAAGTAGTGTATTTCCTGACCCACGTTTGTCCCCAACAAGTCCTAATCCTTTCTGTGAGAAATGGTATTTTGGAACCAGCAGAAGCAGGCATGTGGTTCAGCAGGCTGAGCCACGGCTTGGGACTCCTGCATCCCGTATTAGCATCAAGTCCCGGCTCCTCTGCTTCCCATCCAGCTTCCTGTTAATGTATCCCGGGAGGCAGCAGGTGATGGCTTCAGTACTTGGGCCCTGCCACCCACATGGGAACCCTGATGGAGTTTGGGGCCATTTGGGATGGAAGATATCTTTCTTGTTCTCACTATCACTCTGCTTTCCAAGTAGATGGAAAAATAAACACTTTTAAAATTTTTACTTAAAAAAAAAGAGAGAAAACAAACTGAATGCTGGGGATACGCATTAGATTCTGGATGCTACTGGATTTTGGACACTGTTCCTTGGCTTTTCAGTAGATGCAGGTAGGAAATACTCTTCAAATAAATGAACTTCATGATGAGTTCAACCAAACACTTCATATTCACATACACAACAACAGAGTTTTTTACATAACCTCATCTGTTTTTTTTTTTTTTTTAAGATTTATTTATTCATTTGAAAGTCAGAGTTACATAGGGAGAGGAAAGGGGAGGGGGTATATTCCATCCGCTGGTCCACTCCCCAGATGGCCACAACAGAGCTGGAGCTGCACCCATCCGAAGCCAGAGCCAGGAGCCTTCTCTGGGTCTCCCATGCAGGCGCAGGGGCCCAAGGACTTGGGTCATCTTCTACTGCTTTTCCAGGCCACAGCAGAGAGCTTGAATGAAAGTGTAGCAGCTGGGACCCGAACCGGTGCCCATATGGGATGCCAGCACTTCAGGCAGCGGTCTTACCCACTACACCACAACGCCGGACCCAACCTCATCTGTTTTACATTCATATCTCCTGTCTCCTATGCCTCAAATCTTGGTTCTAAAAGACCCTAAAATAATTACTCATTTGCTTTATTCCACAATAGACAATATTTTTTTTTGTAAACATATCTTTAGAATAAATTCCTAGAATCCAAGATCAAAGGCCTACCTTACCTTGCTAGATATGGTAGATTCCCCATGCTGGAGGTTAAACCACTTGCAGTGTGTGAAGCCTCTCTCCCTGAGGCTCCACCAACAGATCAAGCCATGAAACATATGCTGTTATCGCATTATCTTGGATCTATGCCAATGTGATAGGTAGGAAATGGTAACTCAGTGCAGTTTAGTTTGTATTTCTCCTTTCATGAGCCGAGGTGAGCATCTTGTCATAGGTTTGAGATTCGTCTGCATCTCTTTTCCTGTGAACTGTTCATAGCTCTAGCTCAACTTTCTGCATGGCAGTTAAGGGGTTTTCTTTGCCCTATTTTTTTTCCAGCCATTATTTTTCTGTGGTGTAATTGTAGATTTTTTTCCCTGTTGAGTTACCTGCTCTGCTTATTTTGTTTTTAACATGCAGAAGTATTCTGCAGTCATGTGATATAATTTGGATAAATTTGGCCCCTGAGTCCCTTTGACTGTGGCCCTTCTGTTGGTTCTGGGTTTTAAAAACAGGAGTTTCTTTCACTTTCAGGTTACAAACGAATTCGCTCATGTTTTTGTTAGAACGCGGCATAACACTTTTAATGATTAGTGCCTTTTCCCCTTCAGAACCTTGGAAAATATAAAAGTGGCCTTTTGTTCAGTCAGTTCACCTGGTGGAAGCAGTCCATCTCCAATTTTAAAAGTTAAATGTGAGGGACCGACGCTGTGGTGCAGTGGGTTAAGGCCCTGGCCTGGAGCGCCGGCATCCCATATGGGCGCCGGTTCTAGTCCGGCTGCTCCTCTTCTGATCCAGCTCTCTGCTGTGGATTGGGAAGGAAGTGGAAGATGGCCCAAATGCTTGGGCCCCTGCACCCATGTGGGAGTCCCGGAGGAAGCTCCTGGCTCCTGGCTTTGGATCAGCACAGCTCCAGCTGTTGCAGTCATCTGGGGAGTGAACCAGCAGACGGAGGACCCTTCTCTCTGTCTCTACCTCTCTCTGTGGCTCTTTCAAATAAATAAAATAAATCTTAAAAAAAAAAAAAAAAGTTCAACGTGACCCTTGTGTGGGCCATGAAGTCACCCTCCTAATGTTGCTCTTCAACAATATGAACGCTCGGATGGAACAGGCAACGCACAGACATTCGTGTCATTGTCACTGTGTTTCTCCTTTACAGAGCTCCCCTGTGCCACCTGCAGTCATGATGTCAGACAGCATCCAGACCAGTAAGTGCTCCAAATGCCAAAGAAGGCTAGAGTCAAGGCATGTTGTCCCCTCTGTTCAGACGAAATAGCAAAGGAAACACAGGTGTAATGGATTCTCCTGGAGTCAAGCTGCAGCTACAAAGTCGCCAGGGTGAATGAGAGACTCACAAATGTGTTTTGTGGATGCTTTTATTAAAAAGAGAAGAATTTTGGTAGAAACAGCAGCTGTAGCCAGCTGCTAAGGGAAACCCCTCCCAGTGCCCTGGCATCATGGTATGGCCTGTTTTGTTTAGTGCAACCAATTTAGGAATAGGGGAACAGTTTCTTACTTCTCTTTCCAGAGATATATCATATTTCCCCTCTAAAATATTGCTTCATCCACAGGCTTTTGAAAGAATGACTTCCACAACTGCAGTCTGGCATGTAGCTAGATAATAGTCTCAATTCTTTGGAACTCAAAAGAAGGCCACAGTAAAGGTCTGAAAAAAAAAAAAAAAAGACCCTAGCTAATGATATTCAGATACTTGACAGCAATTTAAAAAGTTTACATCCTATAATTCACCTTAAGTAACTGATATTCACTGGAAAGGTACAGAGACGGATGGAGAGAGAACAGAGATATCTTTCTTCTTGTGGTTCATTCTCCAGATGCCCGCATCAGCCAGGGCTGGTCCTTGAGTTTTTGGCATCACTGCTACTTCCCAACGTGCACATTGGCAGGAAGCTGGAATCAGAAGCAGAGCTGGGACTTGAAACCAGACACTCAAACATAGGATGCAGGTGTCCCAAGCAGTGCTTGCACTGCTGAACCAAACATCTACCTCTGATAATAATTTAACAGAAATAATAATCAGGCATAGCTTGTTTTCAATATAGAAAGATTCTCTTACTTCAGTTATATATAATAAATAGAAATATTTAGGTACTTCAAAAAGTTAATGAAAAACAAAATTAAGATAAGTTTATTGGGGCTGGTGCTGTGGCACAGTGGGTTAAGGCCCTGGCCTGGAGTGCCAGCATTCCATATGGGTGTTGGTTCGAGACCTGACTGCTCCTCTTCAGATCCAGCTCTCTGCTGTGGCCTGGGATAGCAGCAGAAGATGGCCCAAGTCCTTGGGCCCCTGCACCCATGTGGGAGACTCCTGGCTTCAGATCGGCACAGCTCCAGCCATTGGGGCCATCTGAGGAGTGAACCAGCAGATCGAAGACCTTTCTGTCTCTACCTCTCTCTGTAACTCTGTTTGCCAAATAAATAAAATAAAACTTAAAAAAAGGTAAGTTTATTTTGGTACAAAAATTTTTTTGAATCCATGCATAGTTTTTTCAGGATACATATTTTTCATTACCTTTTTGAAGTACCCTCATATATAAGTGTACACACACGCACACACACACACACAAGCAATCCAAGTAATTCTAATGCAGGTTTCCTCATTCATATCATACTCTGAAAAAGTCTGCTCAGGAGTCTAATTCCTCCAAAAGCCAGCCTTGGTTCCCAAATCCCCTGAACTGCTTTTATTTATTTATTTGAAAGTCAGAGTTGCCAGCGCCATGACTCACTAGGCTAATCCTCTGCCTTCAGCGCTGGCACCCCGGGTTCTAAGTCCCAGTTGGGGTGCCGGATTCTGTCCTGGTTGCTCCTCTTCCAGTCCAGCTCTCTGCTGTGGCCCGGGAAGGCAGTGGAGGATGGTCCAAATGCTTGGGCCCTGCACCCGCATGGGAGACCAGGAGGAAGCACCTGGCTCCTGGCTTCGGATCGGCGCAGCGCGCCGGCGGTAGCAGCCATTTGGTGTGAACCAATGGAAAGAAGACCTTTTTTGGAAAGAAGACCTTTCTCTCTCTCTCTCTCTCTCTCACTGTCTAACTCTGCTTGTCAAAGAAAAGAAGATAATTAAAGTCAGAGAGTCAGAGTTACACAGAGAGAGAAGGAGAGGCAGAGAGAGAGAGAGAGAGAGGTCTTCCATCTTCTGGTTCACTCCCCAATTGGCCATAGCAGCCAGAGCTGTGCCAATCCAAAGCCAGGAGCAAGGAGCTTCTTCCCGGTCTCTGACACGGGTGCAGGGGCCCAAGGACTTGGGCCATCTTCTACTGATTTCCCAGATAACAGCAGAGAGCTGGATTGGAAGTGGAGCAGCTGAGACATGAACCGGTGCCCATATGGGATGCTGGTACTGCAGGCCGCGGCTTTATCCGCTGTGCTCAGTGCCAGCCCCTTGAATTGCTTTCTTTGCCTCTCCGTTCAGAGAGATGCTGACACTGATACTGTGTGGTTGACTGCTTTACCCCTAGCATCCAGCACAACGCCTGGCACACAGTGTGTATGGCATACCTATCTGTTGAACTAAGGACTGATCGTCAGAGACAAGTGGATAACCATATGCAAAAGACCCCTACTGCATGCCATCCACAAAAATCACCTCCAGCCCCAAGACTTACATGTAAGCGCTAACTCTGTAACATTCTTAGGAGAAAACATAGATGAAAATCTTCATGACCTTAGTCTAGGCAATGGAGTCTTAGATACAACACCAAAAGTACAAATAACCAAGGACAAAAAAATATACTATCAAGAAAGTGAAAAGACAACCCTGGGGATTCCTCAGGAAGGGATAAACACGGACCACACCACAGTGTCTGCCTCCAGGCTTCCTACAGAAACGTTCCCTAGCACCAACTCTACAGCCCCAGCTCTCCGCCCCTCCTGGTCCAGCTGTCTCTCTCCAGCTCTTTCTATGCCATTTCTTCACAGCTTCTTTCTTCCCTCTGTTCCTACTTCTGTTTTTCTTCACTGTTCTTATTCTGTGTCTAGGAAATGCAACTTACAGTTTTATTTTTATACATAGATCCTGTTTTTTTTTTTTTTTTTTTTTTTTTTTTTTTTTTTTTTTTTTTAAGCTATCACTAGGGAATTTGCTTGAGGGTTAAAGAGCCTGGGTACCACAGTGTCTTCGCTAAGACTACAGGTCGCCTGCTTCTGTACACTTATCCAAGGCTTATGAACAGCACACACACAAAGTAGGCCTTTGATCCTGAAAACCTAGGGATCCCATGGGGATGAGGATAAATATTTATCTCTATTTGCTTTTTTCTGTTGGGGCCTGGTTCCTGGCTTGCTCAATGTCCTATTTGGCCAAATACCAGCCAGGTCAGGAAAAGATCACTCCACAGTTCCAGGCTTGAGCATGTGGGAAGAGCCTCCAAACAGTTCCCATATAAATTTTTAAAGGGTCATCTAAGTACACTACCAGTGTAAGAGAATCTGTAGGGAGAAAAGACATTCCGTGCCCTCACACTAAGTTTGGAAAGAAAACCAAACACGGGTCATTCTTTCAGCATTTCTTCCCATACCTCACCTAAGATAAGAAACATCCTCAAATATGCTAGGAGGGCTGAACCGGCTGCGGCTGCAGTGAAGGAAAAGTAAAGGGCTGTGGGTTCTCAGACCAAGGTTTTCAAATCCTGGCTTTGCTACCTACGAGGCAAACCTCACTTTCCTTATTTCCAAAACCAAGATAAGAAAAACTTATTTTTGGGTTGGTGTTGTGACTCAGCAGGTTAAGCCACTGTTTCAGATGACATCACCCCACATTAGAGAGCTGGTTCGAGTACTGGCTGCTCTACTCCCAATCTAGCTCCCTTTCAATGTACCTGGGAAGGTAGCAGACGATGGCCCAAGTACTTGGGTCCCTGTCACCCAAGTGGTGGAGCTTCTGGCTTCCAGACCTGGCTATTGTAGCCATTTGGGAAGTGAACCAGCAGATGGAAGATATCTCCCTGAGGGCTGGCGCTGGGTTAAGTGGGATAAGCCTCTGCCTGCAGCACTGGTATCCCATAAGGGTGTCAGTTGATGCCCTCGCTGTTCTTTTGATCCAGCTCTCTGTTATGGCCTGGGAAAGCAGTGGAAGATGGCCCAAGTGCTTGGGCCCCTGCACCCACTCAGGAGCCCTGGAAGAAGCTCCTGGCTCCTGGCTTCAGATAGGCCCAGCTCTGGCCTTTGTGGCCATTGGGAGTGAACCAATGAATGCAAGACCTTTCCCTCTGTCTCTTCCCTCTCTGTAACTCTGACTTTCAAATAAATAAATAAATCTTTCTTTAAAAATATATCTGTGTTTCTCCCTCTCTCTGTTACTTTGCCTTTCAAATAAACAAATCAATCAATCTTAAAATAAAAATGAAAAGCTTACTTTATAGAGTTGTTGACAGGATTTACTGATATCATGTGTATAAAGCACAGTGCATGGCTCCACTTCAGTTTTGGCAGAAGCACTAGATAGGTCTCTCTACTGATGACTCTGAAACTCCAGAGCTTCAGGTCACCACATTCCTCGCCCCTGAACTGGAAACACAAAACAGAAGACAACAAGTTGTTCCCTGGTTCTACCATGGAGACCTGCCACTGGAAAAGGGGCATGTGTCTATCTCTTCCATAAACCAAATTCACCATGCACTGGCCGGCAAGATCTACCAACAGCCAGATGTAAGCCCCACTGGGCATAATGTATATGGAAGAGGGATAATGGCAGATCCCCCAAACCACTGCTTTCTGCAATGATGAACAATGGCTTTTGCAAACAACTCAGGTAAGCTGCCATCACTAGCCATCACCACTGTCATTTTGGCACTGTCACCATTAACACTGTGGCCATGACCAGCTATACTGGTAACATCATCAGTATCACCTCTCCTCCTTCCCCCACCATAATCACCATTACTCTCATTGCAAGGCATCAGTCAAGCCCCAGCTGCTATAGACAGAGCGGCTGAATGTCGATCTGCGGAGCTCGTGGTCCTGAAGAAAGTTCTGCATGGAGAACTCCTGAATTACCCGTGCAAACTATGCCACACCCATCTCTCAGCACACACAAAACAGCCCCACCTAAAGCCACTTGCTGCAACAAATGCCACAGAACTGAAGAGAGACTATAGAGAGGTAAACTCCCCTTCACCACCCACCGTGGACCTGCAGGAGGATGCAGAGAAAGGGCCGGAAAAAGGCTGCCTATGCCCCAAAGTGGATCTCTGACATAGCTTTGTACCCGGGATACTTGCTGTGTATGTAGGGCCCAGAGGGTTACAGGTGGGTAGGACAGAAGAGCAGCTATGGCCTCCTGATTCGAGTTGGCCATATTTCCATCTGCTAACGGGCTGCTGTGCACTCTTGATAAAATGAACTTGAAGTCCACTGACAAAACAGCTTTGCAGCAGTCCGATGGGAGGCTCACATCTTGGGAGAACATGAGGGATATTTGCCTGCTGCCATGAGGAAACTGAAACAATATCCTTTTAAAAGAGCTCTCACAGAGATTTTGCTGTATTTTTCCTTTGAAGACATAAAAAATATCTAATAATGTTGTCCACACTTTTAAAAATAGGTCACAAGCTTTTGCAAAAAAAAAAAAACAACTTTCATTTCCTTGCATCTTTGTAATTTAACAAATAGATAAACTCAATTTTTAATTATCCTTTTTAAAAGATATTTTTAAAAGTAAAGGTTATTCCTAGGCTGATACTGAATATGCCAGGTCTGTAGCTAGAAGCAAATTTTTATAGCTGGTTATAAACCTCTGAAATATGAGTTTATACTGGAAAAGCTGAAGCAACCTTAACTCTACCCACGCCAATGGGCGCCACTTTAATTACAGTGCCTGAATCGAATAAAACACTGTCTCTCTCCTACAGTAGCATCACAAAGAACCCCATTAATTCTCCAATTACTAAATGAGGAAACAACATCCTCTAGAACCCTCGCCAAGGGAAAGGAACAGCAAGCGCTCCAACTGCAAACCTTAAAACCAGGCTTCAAAGCCCCAGCTGCACAGGGAGAGGCTCCCCTGAAAGGCAGGCAGTGCTTACTTCGCTCCTTTTAGGTAAATGAATGTGTTGGCCAAGGCTCACAGAAGACTATTTGTTTAACAAATAAAGATGTTCGTTTCCTGGAGTGTTTCTAACTGGGATTTGGGATCCTACCTCCTAAGAAAGTCAAGGTTGGGCTATCTCCCTCAAGGGGCTTTGACCTCTTGGTGTCTCTCTCAAGGGAGGGAAGGGTCTGGTTGCTTGAGGGAGTGTGCGTGCAAAACGAGGGGACAAACGGTTGGGCTCACACCAACGCCTCCATCATGCTGTCAACAGGAAAGAAAAATGAGGAAGGTCAAAACGATATCCAGTAGGATTTGTAAATTGAGCCATTCAGTAGGCAAGCAAACTTTAAAAATAGTAACTCGGGGGAGGCCAACTTCCCGCCACTCCTCCCTCCCCAATCTGCCATGCTGCCCCGGCCATCTTTGCAACAGCAGTTACACAGCCCTGTTTTCAAAGCCATGCTAACATCTTGGGAAACGCCAGGGAAAAATCAAAGATTCTTTGGCTGGGCGTGTAATATAAAACTTGAAGTTGTTCCTGTTAAATAAAAACAGCCATGTTAATTTTGGTGCCATTAAAAACACAGGAAAATACTGTTGCCAAATGGAAAAGACAAAAAAAAAAAAGAGCTCACCAAATGGGAAGCAGTTGTATTTTCAAGATTTGAGCATGATATTACAAAAAGCTAGAGAGCAAAATTGAATGAGGAAAAAGAAGTGGGAAAGAATGGTGGCTTTCTCTGTTTAACTTCTCTCCTCTGAAAGAACGCACCCCTGATTTATCCAAACAGACACAAAACGCAAGCCTCGGGAGTTTCACTCCTTTGCTCTGAAAATAATGAAGCATTTTCTTGCTTGGACCACATGCTCCTGGTTCCAGCCTTCTGCAAACGCTCCCAGTGACACACTGCACTGCACAGCAACCAGAAAAAAAATATTCTACACTCAATATCCTGTTTCCAGATGAATCTGACAAATGGTTGCAAGAGCAAGAGCAGAGACGTTCTTTCCGGCTTCACCTGCAAGTTACCGAACATTCCCAGTAGTGTTTCTTAACGCCTCTGAGTTCATGAAGGCAGTATCCATCCAGCCACACTTGCAATGGCAGACATAAGCTCGAGTGATTCTCACAAGACCATCTTTGGATGATTTTGACATTTTTGGGCAGCCAAGAAGGAGGGCCTATGATGCCACAGAGCAAGCAAGAAGCCAGGAAGAGGGAAAGAAGCCAGGAAGAGGGAAGGGAAGGGGAGGGGAGGGGAGGGGAGGGGAGGGAAGGAAACAAAGACCTAAGACTCTCAAAATCCTCTTTTGGGTGGCTTGAAGAGATTCTGGAACATGGCTTTGTTTTTCCTAAAACATCTTTTGTGCGAGAATATTTTTCTATTTTAATTTTGTAACAGTGATTCCTGAATTACCTTCCTCTGGCTAAACTGGTATCCATCCCCTGGGAAAATCATACTTGATGTCTTCACCAGAAATAAAATGGCTTTCACCACTACTGCTACTCCTACCTTCATTCTTTTTCTCACTCAGAAGCACAGATGCAGAATGTCACCTCCACACCAGGAGCAGTGTGTGCAGCTGGCTGTGATCTGACTGCAATGTCACATGACTATCTCTCATAGATGGTGCTGTTTTCAAAGACATGGCAGCGCCCCGATCTCTCAGTGATAGCTCTGGACTTGAAGCAAAAATTCGGATGAAGGCTCCAAATTGGAGAAAATAGAGACCACCTAAAAATTCACATCCCAACACTGTTGCTCACTCTGCACCTCCCTTCTGTTCAGTGAGGTATGGAAACCTGCCAGGGAGGAGGCGGGGGGGCAAGGAAAGCCTCGGGTGGGGGTGTGATCTGTCAGATGGCGCTGGACACACCAAGGGGTGAGGGGCTCACTGGTTAAGAGACCAAATTAGGCCATCACTGTGGCTCAATAGGCTAATCCTCTGCCTGCGGCACCGGCACCCCAGGTTCTAGTCCCGGTTGCTCCACTTCCAGTCCAGCTCTCTGCTGTGGCCCGGGAGTGCAGTGGAGGATGGTGCAGGTCCTTGGGCCCTGCACCCGCATGGGAGACTGGGGGAAGCACCTGGCTCCTGACTTCGGATTAGCGTGGTGCGCTGGCCGTGGCGGCAATTGTGGGGTGAACCAATGGAAAAGGAAGACCTTTCTCTCTCTGTCTGTCTCTCTCACTGTCCACTCTGCCTATCCAAAAAAAAAAAAAAAAAAAAAAAGAGAGAGAGAGAGAGAGAGACTTCATTAGATCTTCCAGAGAATCAAGCTAGGAGGGGTTAACAGCCTCTCGAAGGGCTGAATTAGAATTCAATGAGACTCACAGAACTTGGAAAAGTGGTTCAATAAAATGAATTTCCAGGAACACATGCAGACCAGTCTGAAGTAATGAATGACTAACCATGTGTTAATAAAGTAGTAAAAGGGTATACAGCTGTAATGATCTTTATATGGAAAGCCAGTCAGCTGCCTAGTACAGTTGTTAATGTTAAATAAAAGATCTGGGGATAGGTGAATGAGATCATGGCACCAGGGAGAAGTGGTTCAGACCGCAGGCTGTACAGTCTGAGACCTGGGAGAGTTTCAGCTGGGTCACTCAGGAGATGAGAGATATAGAGAATTACTCTTTTTCTTGGTTTTCTCCTCTACAGAATGCCATAAATAAAGGCCCTTGACTTGTAGAGGTTGTTGAGGCTGAAACCGGATGATATGTGAAATGTACTCGGCACTGTGCCACGCACAGAGTTAAGAGTTCAGTATGGGACTGGCATTGTGGCACAGTGGGTTAAGCCACTGTCTGCAATGCTGGCATCCCATATGGGTGCCGGTTCAATCCAGCTCCCCATTGGTGCACGTGAGAAAGTAGTGGAGGATGATCCAAGTCCTTGGGCCCCTGCGTTCACATGGAAGACCCAGATGGAGTTCCAGGCTCCTGGTTTCAGTCTGCCCAGCCCTGGTGGCTGTGACCATTTGGGGATTGGACTAGCAGATGGAAGATCTCTCTCTCTGTTTCTCAAACTCTGTCTCTCTCTCTCTCTCTCTAATCCTGCTTTTCAAATACATAAATAAATATTTGTAAATGAGTATTATTTAAAGAAAAAGAGCTCAATAAATGGCTCCTGTAGTCAGCTATGGAGACCCCTTTCCAACTTACTGTGCCTTGTTTCAGATATTTGAGCATCCGAGTGATAAAAGAACTAGATGATGATCCAACAGAAAGCAACTGAGACAACTAAAGAATAAGAAAACAGAAGCTAAAAAAAGGGGGGGGAGCTCAAAACTGTTGGGATTATTTAGCCCAGAAAAAAAAAAAAGCTGGAAAGTTTAGTAAAGAAGCAAATAAACAAAGGTACATTATTCAGCACGGAGTAATCGGCTGTTCTGCTATTGAATTAGACAGTGAAGAAAGGTGTTTTGTTGCAGCAGGAGGAGCAAGGGTTAGCCATAAAAAAGAATTTCCTTGTAATT